CGTCTTGACCGTCTTATATATAAAATAATACCGAAATCTAGTAAACGATAGAGCATTCAGGAACCTTCGAGAATATGACGTGTTACTAGGGTCACGTGACTTCCACTGTCGTAACAGTATTTTGCAACTGAGTTACAGTTACCTATGCTATTTGTGTAATGCAGAATTCCCTGTATTCAATAAAAGGTTCAGAGTCATGTTCATGTAAGAAGAATGTATTTATTTACAATGAATGACTGTTTCAGTTTCAAAATACAAATTTATTTAAAGTGAATTCTCTAATACATAATTGGTAGAAAACTTGTACATTAACGTAAAAAAATCAAACACTGAGGCGTATAAACTTCATGGCTTGAGACCAATTACCTTCGTATGAATGCAACATAAATATTATATACAGTTAAATATACACATGAACTTTCACTTTTCTCATACATTTGTACCAAAATCTTGCCTTACAGTAAACAATGTTTGAATCTATAATAAGTTTACGAATTAACTATAAAGAAAGATATTTTTACTTCAGTGTTTTTTCTAAACCTGCAGAATGAGTTGCTTAACACTATTCCGTTAAATATAATTAACCAGTTCATAAAATAGGTACGTTATAATTGTTTTATTCATTTTAAGTACACGTTATAATTGTTTTATTAAATTAAAGTACACTATATTATTTTTGTAAGTTCATACTGTTGTGAAAATATACCCAAAATAAAAAATACGATCATAAGCTCAGGAAATGTAGTACAAAATAAAATAATCTGTTTTGTAGTTAAACAAAAGATCAGGTACTGCTCTTGTACCAAGCACGTGAAATTGGCCACCGTTTATCTTCTTTGGAAACGTATACCACCCCTTATCAAATTAAATTCCAGGGCCTCTCTTTTTATAAATGACACCTAAAAACTGAAATCATATCTTGATTGTTAGAAAACATTGCTGTTAGTGTAAATAAATTTAAATTGTGTTTACTATATCCAACGCGGATTAATTCCGTCACTAATTTAACTTTCTTGTGTAATACGTGTTCCCAGTGATTCTTCTTATGGACTTTGTTGTTTGATTTATATCTATTATTTGCTTCGTTTACGCATCTCTAAAAACTAATAAAAGCTGGTGCTATTTGTCATGGTTGACAGTTGTTGATAGGGATGAAATAATTAATTTATTTATACCACTAATTAGCTTTAACTTCTTATAACTATGTTCTACTCTTAAACAGAAAATCTAACATCAGCCAGCATTATGATCTGATCACCATTAAAAGGTCCGCCATCGAATATGTCTGGGTTATCAAATTTTAGTTACATTAGTAAAACACTTAAGATTAACCTCACTCAAAGCACTTCAAATTTTTAAAGCAGTGAATATAGGTTATTGACAGAACTAAATCTATATATTTTATTAAAATTGCTGTATAACATTAGATTGGAACTTCAAATCATTAGGAAAAGTCGGAAAGATCTGTTGAAACAGGTGGCACTGGACTTTTATTGGTACGTCGAAGCCATACACAGGTGAAGGTAAATCTAACATTCCCAGGCTTCAAAAAGTGTCTGACTTTTCTTCAGTCACGTTCTACAAAAAGATGAATATATACATTGTTCTAAAAAACGACTAATTTAGTACAAGCAGAATTAATTACTAGCACCTTCAATTTTCGTTATGATATAAACAACTATTAGTAAATAATCGATTTTCTATTTTAAACTATATTTTATAACATCTTTCCAAAATCAACTGTCTCACTTACTGCTGGAAAACCTGTTACATTATTATAATAATTCTAAACAGTAAAATTATTACGTGCTATGTAATCTGTACAAGACCATTACATTACAAGGCTAACTCTAACGGTATTTGTGCTGTAATTGGATGATGAAAAATTACGTCACTGCCTGGCCACTTTACATGCATGAAGTGCGATGATGGACAGACGCGCACTCATAGTGCCAACTGTTTAAATTTTTGAATATTGAAACAACGTATTACGATTACAAACATTTTAACATACTTGATAAGATACTAACAGGCCAAACAGTGCTAGACTAAATTATTACTAGACGCAAACATAGCCCTATTTTAAAAGGTTTTTATTTTATGTAAAAATAATATTGGGTGTGTGTGAGAGCTCCAGTTGGAACTGTATAGTGAGCACAGGACTGAAAATGCAATCATACATTAGCGAAGCTCAGTGTAAATATGCAAGTTAATACAAGATGTACTTCCGCAGGGTCCCAGAAAGTGTTCTATTTCAAGAGTAAATAAAACCAAAATTAAGAGTAATAGATATTTTTTACTTCTTGCTTTTCAAGTTCATATGTCATGTTGTATTGTAGCCTACAGAGTGCATAATTCTTCTCCTAATTAATAGCATGCACACTGACGTCACGACAGTACAAATTGCAACCTTAAGCATCCCTTATGCGACGTCATTTTACTGGTCTACTGAATGACTGACAGACAACACACTACTGTATACTTGTGCGAGTGGTTAAAACAGTTGACCCTTCCAGGTGACCTTTGGCCCTCTTTCGTGGAAATAACCCCATGAAATGGACATGGCCTGAAAAGGGTATGTTAAATTTTAAAAAAAGGACAACAGACAGTACTTAATATGCCATGAGTAAAGCATTATAGTAAGGGGATATATCCTTAGAATCAGTTTCAATATAGATAGAATAAGACAATTATTCTGGTCAGAAAATCCAAGCAAGTCACATGCACTAGAAATCTTCCTTAAGATGAAAGAACAGGTTGAATATATTTAACAAAAAACGTGATGTTAAAGGTCAAACAGTGACGAAGATTGCTAAAGCAATCATTTGACAGAAGAGTCGTGCATCCATCGAGTTCATGCACCCCATAAAGTAAAATTTAAGCGATTTTTCTTTCTTTTTGCAACAAGATATTATTGTCTTTTGCATTCATCATATTTCTCACTGATTTAAATAGAAAGAAGAGCTTTGTTCACGTGTCTCAATGTCAATTTTGAGAGCCCAAAGCAGATGATATCATTTATGAACTTTTTCTTTGGTCGTTTTTGCACTCTAGCCGCACGTTTACTTGGCAACACTTCATTATCACATACATTTCTTATGCTCAATGACGGCAGTAATCGGAGAGAGGGAACGGCATCTGGCTTTAATCTTGGTCTACTTTTGAAACCAAGTAGTTCAACTTTTGAATCTTTTTCAAAATCGTCACTACTAAATGGGTTCGAACACACCACTATTCTTATTGAACAGATCAAATTTGTCTTTTCATTTGTTCTATCAACCCAAGGTTTAAACAACTGTTCATCGTTCAAGTGAAGTCTATGACAAAACGAAAACTGAACCGGAAGCAATAAGAGATCTCGTGGTTTCGTCTCATGTGTTTCAACCGGGGTGAAGGCACACGAGATAGCGCGTGGCCAGGCAGTGACGTAACAGGCGCCAAAGGCAGGTCTCGTACTGCAGTAGCCTCTTACCCACCATATTGTTTGTCCAATCACGCAACATACACTAAAAAACATCAAAACTTACTTTATTATGCAAAACCGACTATTATAAATAACTTATTATCTATTTCATTTTAAAACACTACTCCCAAATCAACCATCTCACTTAGAACAATAAAACCTGTTACATGGTAATAACAATAATTTTAAATGGTAAAATGATTACGTACGAAGTACATAGCTTAATGTTTATTCAGTTACGCTATGGAACAATCTAGTTAGTAAATATGAATACTGAGTGCTAAGTTTAAAATTGCACACAGTTAACCGGTAATACAATATATTGCACACAACACGTTCACATATTAAGTAGAATTTCGACCCACCAGTTGGAAAATATCATAGTGTCCTATCGAAATGTAGGTTTAGCATATAAACTGGTAGGTAAAATACATATATAAGTAGTTTTACTACATAAACATGTTAAATTCAATATGTAAACTGACGAATCAATTTAATTTCCGAACATGTCGCGTATAATATATTGTATTACCGCTTGTTTATGTTCATATTTGTTAACTTATAAGTTTGCTTGAATGTGAATACATAAACATGCATATTCATAAAATCTCTCCCAAAAATGATAAGTTAAAACAAGAATGACATCTCATTCTGGCTGTTAATTTGTTGTTAAGCACAAAGCTACACAATGGGCTAATTGGGATCTGCCTATCACGGGCATCGAAATCCGATTTTTTAGCGTAATAAGCCCTCAGACTTATCGCTGAGCCACCGGGATCGTATTGTGACTGAGAAAAACATCGATCCACGTCTCAGACTTAAGGTGTCAATAAGATTTTTCAGCAAAATGAGAAAGTGATGAAATTTTATTTACTTAAATCGGAACTTTACGAACAATAACAAAAAAGTAGAATGAATTTAATTGAGTTAGTTTAGGATCAGGGGCGATATTTGCTTTGGAGAAAGATATTGCAACAAATGGCTAAAGTCATAAAATCCCCCTTCACAAAAAAGCGCTTGAACCGATTTTGATGTTTAATTGGATTACAGTATATGATATTTAGGTGTAAATTTCAATTTATTACAAGTATACTAAAAAGCTTAACTGAAAATCCTTAAAATAGATACTTTGTTTTTTCTGTTGCAGAAGATTTGTTCAACTGCATGAACAAAATACATCAGGACTTTACAACTTAGAAAAATAGTTATTTTGTTGAGAAAAGTTTAGGGTTAGAGCATCACAGCACAATATTTCACCGCAAACTAACTCTCAATAATTCTAACTTCAAACTTTTGTATAAAACTTTCGTACACATAATAACTATAAAAATTAATAAGGGATGTTAGACAGGAACGCCAATTGTGAGTGCAGGAAGAGAAATTGCCCCGTCTCCGTCATGAAGATCAGAAGAATCTGGCAAGTCTATTTTTACTATTTTGTTTGTTTGTTTGTAGTTAAGCACAAAGCTACACAATGGGCTATCTGTGCTCTGCCCACCACGAGTATCGAAACCCGATTTCTAGCGTTGTTCTACTCTTATGTATGTGATGTAAAAATTAGAGTACAAGCCAATGCCAGGTCACATATTATTGCACTTTCACTCCAGAAAAATCCAAGAACTTTCACGAGTCTAGCGACCCCTGGATCTATGCAATAATTTGCTCCCACCCCCATATTAGATCTCATTCGAATTGTTGATTTTTATGAAGGACGAAATCAGCAACCTAAACAAATATTTAAAAAATTCTCCACCTTCACAATTTGAAAAAAATTGTGTTTACTGGCCCAAATTTGGCGTATGTTACAGAACTATGAAAGTAAAATCTTTTAATTTTTAAAGAGATAATTTTCTGTTTACTAGGGAAAACCAAGATCGAGCGTTCGTAAAGTAACCGATTTACTCTAATTAAACAGTCTCTCTGACCCTAAATTCGTAAATACGTTTGATCTTCGTTAAATTCGGCATGTTAAGAATTTCAGGTCCTAGTAACTGAAAGTTTACCAAATGTTGATGGATATTAAAGGTCCTAGATCGAGAAATATATATTGCTACATCTACAAGCACTTATTTGGAGTTAATTTGTAATCATGAAAGCTGAAAATATTTGTTGTAAAAAATATGGGTTTTGGATACCTCAAGGCACCTCAGCCCAAATATTCCCAAAGGGCCTACTTCTGCATAAGTTGAGATTAGCTCTACTTACATGCACAAAAATTGGTACACACATATACAACTATGGAAGCCATAGTACCCTCGCATAGGCTTTTACTTCTTAATCCTCTTCAGTAATACAACTGATAAAAGACAAAATAAATTAATACCAACAAATAAAACCTTAGAATTAACAAAATGAAGCACCACTAAACTCATTGTTAAACACTGAAACTTATAGTAATATTAAGGTTACATAATTACATTAAAACATAACAGACATAAAATATATAAAAAAAGAAAGACAAGTGTCAACGCAGGCTTCAGTGTACTAAGAAAGCAAATGAAATATATATATTCTAACACGTTTATTCACACGTCAGTTACATTAATGTTCAATGGTACTTTTCCTTCATGTATAAAAATTGTTAAAGATTTTCGTATATAAACAACAAAATTAACAAGTTACTTCTGTAGGACTACTTAATAATATTATGAAAATACTCTTTCATTTGTTCTGTGATTGACCTTAGCGTTCAAACTTGTCTCATTGAATTAGTCACGAAACCAATTGTAAACAAAGAATACCAAACAAAGATTTTTAATCTTAAAATTACACAATTTCCATTAAAATGAAAAAACTGCTTACAAAGTTGTTATCTACAAAATGTGATAGTATTATATTTATGGGAGAATAAATTGTTGTTTCTTTATGACATTATGCTTAGTAATGGAAACTCGTAGTGATGCTGCTCTTTTAATATTTCCTGTTTTTAAATGTTTAACCTATGTAAGAAAAATGAGTTTCAATGTTTTCCTTTTATATAAAAGGATTTGGCAAAATAATTATACCTTTTAAATGTTTTCTTTTACATTTTGTGATCTGTGTTCAGGTAACTTTTTCTCCTATTGTGACTACAGTTAAGCCTTTCATAATTATTTGCTGGTGTCTATTTAAACAAGATAAATATAAAAATTGGGAATTTAAAAACCTACAAATAGAGATAGTAAAAAAGTAAGAAAACGAGGCTAGAGATACTGTAGACATTATTCACTCAAACTACAAATCCCTATTTTGACTTCACCAAATGTAATTCTAGGTAACAGCATAGAGCCACAATACTGGTTTGTAGTTTAAGTAAATAATGTTTACAGTATCTCCAGCCTTGTTTCCCTAATTTTTTACTATCCCTATTATCAGGTTTTTAAATTCCCAATTTTTTTTATTTATCTTGTTTGTTGGTTTCTTTATTCTCAGCTATGGGCAAAAGATTGCTTGATACGGTAGCTAACTTTATACGTTGTAATGATAAAGGTCATTTAAATTTGAAAACTTGAAGACACATGTCTTCTAACAACTAAAGCAGGTACTTTATACTATGACTAAATTCTCAGTATTCTGGTAACAACATAACAAATATGGTTATTGTATCTATTTTTACGAGTAATGATTTACATTTACCTTGGTTATCACGTCCTGCTTTGTTTTCATATACCTAGAAGGTTGCTTTGGACTATTATTGATAAATTATGCGAAAAGTTGAAGTTGACGAGAACTGTTAAGCATACCTTTCAGTGTTCCTTTTATCAACTGGGTAAGGCAATTACAGATGAAATGTAGGCTTTTCTGTAATTTTTGTAAAACTGGAAAAACTGTTCAACTGTTATGTTGTGCCCCATTTCTGGATACTGCAAAATGAAAATGATAGGAATATTTCAGTTCACAATAAATCGTTTTGCGTTTGATTTTTGTTTTCTTAAATATGCCACAGCTACATAAATGCGTATGCAAACGTCAACACACACACAACTATACTGATATAAATCTGTTTTCTTTATTTCTGCCCAGAATTCTTTGAAATGTTGATTGTTTTCCTTAACGACTTAAATTATTTACTTACACTTGTTAGAAGAAAAACATTTGTTTTAAATTAATTTGAAAAAGTTCAAATTCGGACAAAATTTGTGGGTTTAAATTCTGCTGATGATTCTGAAAATAATCTTAAGGTGTTTTAATTAAATTATAGCTTTTTAATCTTTATAGTTTTCAGACATTAAATTTAAGGTATTTTTATTTAGAAATATACAATTTTGTTTGAGCTTAGTAGCTAATAAATAATTTATACTTACTTTAACTATGACACAGTGAAAGTTTGCAGGAATTTTTGAAGTCGGTGATATTACTCCTACCTTAGAGGATATTATCGATGATAATTTGCTTTCGCTGTCCACCTGTTAAAAACACATAAAGATTAGTGTAATGATCTAAAAACCGTCCTAGTAGCCATTAAAGACCTGTAATTTTGCATTACTGGATATATATATAAAAGAAATATTAATATATCGATAGGAATGTTAAAATGATAACATTTCGAAGTAATCTTTAAGGATTTCCCTTAAAGTTTGTAGATCAATTAGTATAACAATGAGCTTTGAAATCACACCATGTCCTACTTCAGGAGCAATGCCTTCATTCACAGAACGAAAGAGAACCCTTTGACCTTAAAAGCCATTGCAACGAAGCTGGGCATATCTCCTGGAACCGATATTAACATAATAAATAAGTTGTTTTTTATTAGAAGTTTTCTTCTTTTTAAAAAGTTTATTTTGTTTGCTTTTTTGTTTCTTATATTCGCACACAGCTACCTGGAACTGTGTGCACTATACATCCTAATTTCAAAGTGACAGATTAGAGAAACGGCAGTTAGATAGCCGACGCCATTCACCACCAACTATTTTCTTGTTACATTGGTGGGATTTAACTGTCATTCTTATAATGCACCCATGGCTCCAAAGTGCGAAACGTAATTTTGTTTTGGTGCTAACGAGACACGAACCAAAAACCTCAGCTACACAGTTTGGCACACTAACCACCGCGCAGTGCTTGGCTCGATAATAGATAAGGCGAAAACATACCAGCTACCCCTTGAAATCAATGGTTGTTTTCAAGAGAAGTTGGATGACCGAAAAGGGTATCACAACTATCCTATTCTACAACATGCCTGTCTAGTTCCCCAATGTAGCTTGAAAAGGACTTTTTGTGCCTTTGGTCTACTTAAACGTAGTCTTGTAAACCGACGTCTATGTGCATTGGAGATCTGTTGAAAGTTTTCATAATGTGAAGTCTAACGATGACTTTACCATTCTTCATAAAAGCTTGATTCAATAGAAATTACAGTTTTTATGCAATAGTGCATAATCATGGTCATTAGATTGAGCATGGCTGATGATAAAGGAAGTATTTCCAAGGTCAGCTTGGAACATTGTTCTTACTAAGTTCGACTAGCCTCACAACTCCGATTTAACGAATTTTAATACTTAACAATTCATGTTCTTAACCTTTCTCTCACCTTAAAAATTAAAACGTTGTTCAGAAATTTACCATCTCAGCTGTAAATCATACAAAATATTTCAAGCTATTACTATTTTACCCTCCTTGAAACACATCATTGTTGTTTATTTATGATATAATATCATATTCTGCTGGTACTATTCCCGATCGGATACCCTGGGAATATGATAAATTATTCAGTAATCTAACAAGTTAAAATACATAAAACGTCTACCCACTGGTGGGGCATAGAACATTTAGTGACTCAGGACATACAGTATTCACACTTTTTAAGGTTTAACACGGTGATTTCTGACTTATTTTAATATTGTTCACAACGGGCAGTTCACATTTTGCATAATATTGATTATTTTATATTTTTCTGTTACAAATTTCGGTGTAAGGAACAGACAAAAACGATTGATGAAATTACTCTTTTATATTTATACATATATATATATATATATATGTAAAATACATAGTAAACTTCAGTAATAATTAGTTGATTGATTACGGTATTGATCGTATTTTTGTGACGCTCATAAGGGACCTTGTATCCAACAAAGTTATTGACCCTTAAATACCGAACATTCTTGCTCGGCTGTGGGGATGTTATAATGTGAAGATCAATCACACTATTTGTTGTTAAAGAGTCGTCTAAGATTTGTTGGCGGTGGATGGTGTTGATTGGCTCCCTTCCCTCTAGTCAATCGCTTCAAAATTAAGGACGGTTAAAACAGATAGCCCTCGAATAGCTTTGTACCAAATTCAACGAAACAACCCTCCCCACCCCCTCCACCAAGATTAGAAGAAAAAAGTTATTCAAATAGTAGAGAGGGTCCGGAATTTCAATATGGTCCAATATAAGCAGTAAGTTTTGACTTTTATTGGTTGGTCTTACCTTCACCAGACGGATCTTGTTTTCATAACAGAATGCCTGGATAAGCAAAGAATGGATGTGTACTTCTACATCTTGTATGTCGTCTGGTAAAATGCACACCATAACGCGGGAGGGATGTCTGGAGGGGAAGAAAAAATATCGTTTAACGTTTATGGATTAAAAACAAAGAAAGATTAACTGCAACAGAAAGTTGAAAAATCATAAAATGAACCTCAAGAAATGTTGTTAAACTACTACAGAGTTTTCAATATTTAATGTGCAAAATTCAATATTTTAAATAAATATAACATTTATTTACAAGTTAAGAAGTGAAGCTCGTATAAAATTAGTTTTTCCCTAGTTCTTTTAATTGATATTATATCTATCCCTTCGTATTTAATATTGTTTTATAGTTTACTATTAAGAAGTTTAGTTTTGAAAAATGTAAGAAAAATAACGATATGAAATAATAACATTGAGATTAAAAAAAAGATGTTATGGCCTACACTGGCTGGCCACTTAGGAATTATGTACTCTTTCAAACTTGGGCCTGGCTTGAGTTGCAGATGTAAATTAGGTTGGTCGGGTGAACCCTAAAGAACTTTAAACAACTGCGATAAGCACATTTGCAGTCATTCTAAAACATATGCAGAAATAATACTATATTACAAGATTAAAAAGAGACGTGACAGTAGATGCACGACATCGGCGCTATTCGAGTTTGTCAGCAATGGCAATGGTTGAATAAAATGTTTGCTGCAAGGTGAAATTGTGGCCGAAAAGATTTAGTGACAGAAAAACGTCAAAGGCTGATGGACAACATACAACAGACCAATTAACAGACATTCAGTAAAAAGTAAATCATATTTATCTACAACGTACCTTGCAAAGAACCTTACAACAAATGGTCTATCGCAATAGGAGACAACTATATAAACTCCTGAACTAGTTACCAACAAGAAAAACGCCTAGAGTAGTGTAAATAGTGCAAACATTGGACTAACAAGGGTTAGCGAACTACACTTTATCCTTTTTTGTACGGGTGACGAAAATACATTTGGAAAAAAAAACAAGGGAATAACTCAACCCTATCTTCTGTGGCCCCAACTGTCCAAGCTCTGGTGGTGGTGTCAGTGGCTTGGATATGTTTTCCTAGCATACCCTGGGCTCCTTAATCATTTTAGAAAGCAGAATGAATGCCAAAGCCTACCTCGGCATCATTTCTGATCAAGTGCACTCAGCAATATGTCAGGTGTAACCTGATGGAACAACTACTTTCAAAACGACAACGTTTCATTCTAACATATCCAGATTATGCGTGCACTGTTTCAGGAAGTTGACAGAGATTTCAGACATCTCGTAGCCACCTTAATCCCAGATCTCAATCCAATTTAACATCTTTGGAATGAACGTAAAAAATAATTCTCCATCGCGATTCTCTTCCTACCCTGTTCCACGAATTGCACACAGTATTCATGACTGAATGGGGGGAAAGTCACTCAGCACACCTTCAATGCCTTGTGCCAGTCTTTCGTGACTAAGGATAAACAAGACATTTAAGGTATAGGTCTTAATAGACTGACCAACTAGTGCACTTGTTTTTTGAAACTGGTTGTTGAATTTTCATACAAAACTACACAAGAGATATCTGTGCACAGCCATCCCTAATTTTTGAGCTGATGGAGTTGATAAAATGTGACTTGTTTCTTTCCACAGAATAGGTTAATGCACAAACTAATAACAATAGTGAGATTTTTAAAATATGCTATGCATTCATTATAAATAGTCAAAAATAGTTTATTTTGTAAAACATCAGTTATTTCTTAAAGCTGTTACATAAACATATTTTTAAACACAGATAAAATTCAAATTATGAACAATTACTGACTACTTAATAGTGTCCTCAAGTATGCCTATCTGAAATATGAAGGAATTAGACAATTTATACAGTTCTGAATTGGGTTAATTTTGTTGTTATAAAATAAACTGCTTGAGGATAGAAAGCCACTGATGATATTTTCCATTAGACCTCAGTTACATCAATAATAAATACATACTAAGGGATAAACTCGTATTTCGCGTACAATATATGTACTAAAATAATTTTACTGCTAAAACATTGCTTAGCAAATTGATTAAAAACAAAAATCGATATAGACTGAATCCTCGACCTCCCTCATACGAAGCGTGTGCTGTGCCATATGAGCCAAGGCCCAAAGATTTTTTCACATATGCAGCCTTATTAAGTGAAATACTATATATGAGAAGGGTATATGTTTTAAATATATAAATCCTTTAAATAATGCTGTAATTGTATATAAATGAAGCAAAGTTGTTATGTTTAGATTTAAAGTAAAGAAGTGTAAAAATATGGAATGACTGTAAACAAAATATATCTCTTTCCACAGAATTTTTGTATAAAAACCTTGTATTTCTGGATAATGGCCATCTTTGACTATGTTCTTAAGGTTTTTTGTTGATCGAACTCTTGATAAAACTGCGCTATAGAATAAAGTAGTGAATTTCTAAAATTATGGTATAAATAAATGTAAAAATCAACTGTCTTTGTCTCTATTTTACTTCTTATTCTCTTTCCTTCCATAACGATACAACACTTTTTTACCCACTCCTAAAGTATTAGCAAAGCGTTGGGTCCACTACCACCAGTAACTTTAGGCCTAATTGTCGATTTTTAGGGGATCGTACTTATACAGTTGGAATCGTATAATAGTTATAAAATAGTGATTTAAAAAAAAACGGTATAAAAAAGTGTAAAAAATCAACTGACATCGTGTGATTTTTTTATGTAAATTTCTTATGTGTGTAAATCGCATTTGTGTATCATCCGAAATCCGTAATGATTTTCATTCGCTCAATGTGTTACCAGCAGAGCATCTAAAATGAATGAAGTTTTGGCAGTATCTACTAAGCCTAATTGCCGTCGATAATATAACGGGGAAACTCGTGCTTCGTAGACGACGCGTATTTAAACTTTAGCCTAATTGTCGTTTTTTTAGGAGACTGTTGGAATTTGTATTCAGATGTAATAGTATTGTGTTATTTATAAGCCATGGAAAAGTAAAGAATTATTTTAATGTGTTTTCTTGCTGTTGTTTTTATATCACCAAAGTAACTGTCTTTAAAGTTAATATTATATACGTCGTAGTTTTGCACTCGTATAGAACAATGCACGTTAAATTAAACGCCTTTCTCTTTTCCACTAGTATAAACGAAAACGTACCAGTGTACAAGCCCCCCAGTGGCACAGCAGTGTGTCTGCGGACTTACAACGCTAGAAACTGGGTTTCGATACTCGTGGTAGTCAGAGTACAGATAGCCCTTTGTGTAGCTTCGTGCTTAATTACAAACAAACAAATGTACAATTAGCCAGTAGGAATATTGGGTTTCCATGTGAGCTAGCGCCCATACACGCACGTACTAACTGAGACACTTTGTTCTTTTAATTACATAGTATAGATGCGTTATAATGTGAATTAGCTCAAATTGTAGAGATATGGCCTGAAGTGCGAGAGGTCTTGGGTTTGATATCGAGTTAATGAAATCGCTGCATTAAAAACAAATCTTGCACCCAATGTGTGGTCATTCCACGGCCTTGAGATAAGGCCGAGCGACGAACCTAATTTGCGAAATGGGAATAATTTGGTAATTAAATCTTTGACTCAGTTGGGAACGTTCGGGAGGTCTCCGGTTTGAATCCATATGAAGGAAATAAATCTGAGTTAGCACTTTTCATTTCGTGTTGACAAACATTTTCATATTATATGAACAATTGTACTGTTAAGTCATCAATAAACATTGCTTTTTATACAAAAATTATCACACATTACCAAAATTGTCAAACAAATTCATAATAATATAAGAAAGGCTTACTTTTCTAGCAGTTGTGCTGCCTGGTACACACCACATACGATTCGACGTTTTTCGGCAGCTTCACTTATCAACTTTTCTAACAGATGACCTGGAGCATCCTGGCTATGATTATAAAATGAAATTAACATATCAAACATACGATGAAATTAGTTATTAAAAAAAATATTATTGACTTTCCTTTCTTTCCTAGTTTGTTCCATAAAATACACCAATATTTAATTACTTTACATCAGACAAGCAAACATCACTATCAAGGCCCGGGCCAATCAGTAATTGAGGGAGAATATTTTAAAACATGGAAAAGGTTTTAATAAGGGGGAAGGCAATAAAATGTTTGTCCCAGAGTCCTTTAAGATCTAGTTACGTCACCGCTCCTAGGCAGTTTTTTTTTTAAGTGTTTGTTTGTAGTTAAGCACAAAGCTACACAAAGGGGCTATCTGTGCTCTACCAACCACGGGCATCGAAACCCGATTTCTAGCGTTGTAAGTCCGCAGACATACTGCTGTGCCACTGGGGGGTAAAAAAAAGAGAGTTAATGCTAGACCTAAAAATGTTTAAAAAACGTTTTCTGGTTTTAATTTTGTATCTAGTACCAAATGGGGAGGAATATAGAGGAGAGAAAGCATGATGAAGCGGTACGAAGCCCCTAGAAATGAATGATATGAGCAAAATATCACTTATGCGACCGGTTTGATCCAGTTTCGTAATTGTGCTCGTTGATTCTTAATCAAAAGTAGGATATAAACACAATCAAAACTGTTATGTGAAACAAGTCTTGTGTGAATCCGCTTATAACTGGTAAACAACTTGATCGATTGTCATCAAACCTGGCAAGTACCCTTAGGGCGCCGATTTGACGATTACTTTTATAAAACATCCACGGCCTCAATATGTGTAGCACTTTTTTTTTTTTTTTTTTTTTTTTTTTTGGGGGAACGGAATGGGAACCGGGAATCCTTGGGTTTTTCCTCCCGCCAAAAAAAGGGAAACCCCAAGGCCC